ACAACTTTGAAAGCACTGAATTACTATGATCAGATGTCCATATTTTCTTTCATCTGAATAAAATTATATTAAAGCATATTGCATCAGAAAAAAATTTGAAGTATTTTATGCTCAAAAAAGCAGGAAACAGCTGTTTACTTCTTCCTGGAAGAGGCATGGGGGATGGACATGAGACAGCATCAGGGCTGTCATGAGGAAGAAAGGAGAACCATGGGCTTTTCTCAGGGTTTCAACAGGAAAGCAAGCAGGGAGTAATATAAATAGGCTGACAGATGTGTTTGAAGGCTTGGTCAAGGAGGGCCAGGATTCCTAGGAATTATTGCTTTCTTTAAAATCAAAATGAATTACAGAAACATGGCTGTTATTGTAATGTAGATCACCGCTGCATAGGGGCCAAAACCACTCATACTCTCCTGTATATATACAGGAGCCTACCTTTAACTTCAAAATGAGCTGGATCTAAATTCAAAATGGCTGACTTCAGCGGCAGAGGGTAGTCACATATACTTGGGAAAACCTTGGAAAATGAAACTATGATTGAGATTCCTTTATCAATACTCTTATATAGTAATGTATTGTTCTCAAGGTCAGATTAAGCAGGCACCCAAAGACAAAAGGGGAGGACATGAACTGAATGTTGCTATGTTTAATCATTTTATTAGACTCAATACATTTGTATCCATAGTGACCTATGCCACTTTACTGAAATTAATTTAAATAAACCATGTTTCTGGGTTAGATAGTGGTGGAGAAATTGAAATTATTATAGTAGATAAATATCAGAGAGGAATGGCCATCAACTACAGATAGCTTTCTCTCTTCAAGGCATCTGGTATTTCTGAGGCCTGCCAGCACTAACAGGTGTCCTTAGTGGTCTAACTGATGTGTCCCTTTATGACTTTATTCCAATGAATTTCAGCAACCTTCAAAATTCAAATGTCCTCAAAATGATCTCCTTGCCACTGATGGGGATATGCCACTTGATTCATTTTCTTTTGTTGAAATAGTCTTAGATGAGTATTTTAATATGCAATTAAGACCAGCTAGCAGAGACGAAACCATCATTTTCACTTCATATTTTTATTCGATTTTGCTAAGAGGCCTGATGTTTGAGGTTAAGAGAGTCATAGAAACATAAGAACCATTCTCCAATCCTGCTGAAATTCACCACTAATCAGGGACCAAAGCCTATAAAAGGAAAAAGACTGCCTGATTAATTAACATAGTCTTTGTCTATTCCAAAGGGCATTCAAACGCAAAGCACCTGCATAGTATCTTTCTTTTTATATCTAAATCCATTCAGTTAGATTATTCTTAAGAAATTGTAGTTAGTCATGAAATAGATGAGGCTAGTGTAATTCCTTCTATCGGTATCTTCCCTCAGGTTCTTAATGACAAATGCATTACAGTTATTTATTACAAGTAGATTAAAGTGTCAGTATGGTTCAATTCATAGCAATCTTATACTTTTAAAATGTATGGGGAATTGGGTTTCTTCCCAGTGCTGACAATGCACAGCAATGCTTTCCAGGGGACTAGATTCCTCAGGAGTCCATTTCTTTATGTTTATTACTTTAAGAACTGAAGGTACCATCTGCTCTTGCCTCAGAGTTGTTTAAATTGTTTAGAACCTCAGGTCATAATGAGAGAAAATATGGTGTAATTCCACATAGTTGATTTCCTTAGCAAATAATTAGCTACACAGTCCTTTCTTTTGCCCTGCAATGAATTACTCTGAGTATAAAGAAATCGATACCAGCAACCTGTTCCCAGGACTAACACACTACAGACTTCTCTAAGTGATCTTAGGAAGCAACAAAATCTAGAATCTAGACCTCATAATATTAGGTAAGAATATTCTTTTGAAATAATTTGGAAGAGGAAACAGCAGGTCAGGTGTTAAAATATACAGACAATAACGTAACAACTCTTTGGCTGCAAATTCACATTAATAGAAAAATTATAGTAAAGATTCATAGGATTTATGTAAGAATAGAACAATTGAACACTTAATGAATTATAATTTCTTTTAAATCATAAATCTGAGATTATCCTGAAATTACATATAGTATTTGGGGTATTGATGAGTGAGTATATTCTCCTGAGGTGGATCCAACTAATTCATTTACTATTTGACTATTTAAAAGTTTATTTACCGTAATGTACTGTCTAAATACTCTAGGTACAGGGAAACAGGGCCCAAAGATATTTGTCTTTTTTAAAAGGGATGCTAAGCTACAGAACATAAGGGGTTTAATAAAGAAACATCACTGTGTTTTCAAACTGTAAGGGAAATAAGCCAAATAAACTCAAGCCTGAGCATTTGTTACATGAATTCTTCTCAGCAAGAGATCTTCATCCCACTCATAACTATGGTGTAATAGATACACACATTTAAAATAACAATGAGAGAGGGAATAAGGAGGAGAGAGGGAGAGAAATAGGAGAAGAGGGGAAAACAGAGACAGAGAGACAGAAAGACATGGAGACAAAGACAGAGACCCAAATACACAGAGGAGAGAGAGACAGAGAGACAAAAATACACAGAGGCAGAGAATATATTAGGGACTCAAATTAGTTAAACATTTATCCATTCAGCTTAAGCCACTCACTATTTTCTCCTGTCCAATTTATGTACAGAGTGTCCTGTGCACTTTCGTACACATCTGACATATTTTGTTGTTACTATGCAAGTTTTTTGTTTCTCCTCTAATATTGTAGGAACTAGTAAATGTTGTTGAGAAACAGACGTTGACCTCTGAACAGCTGGCTCCCATATGTACTCTGAAGTACATGATTCCATGAAATTTAGTCACAATTACCTGGAGAAACCTTACAAACTATAATGAATGCATTCTGAAACTCCAAAATTGAAAGAGGATGCTTTCCAACAGGGCTGTAAATAGACATCCGCACCACAAATTGTTTCTAAATACTTTAGCAGATATTAATGTATTAGGGTATTTATAGATTATCTATGGTCTACAGTTCTATTTTCTTACATTTTAGAGACCAGTGATCCTTGAAACATCTGTAATACAGGAACTTCCCAGTCATATTTCATCTAAAAAGTTTATAAAAATTCTTCTTAGGGTTAGGATGAATATTAAGAGTGTGGAAGAGAAGAAGGAAAAGAAGGATGATGAGGAGAAAGCTTTCATGATGATGCATTCAAGGAAAAAGAATAAGGTTCTAATTTTAGGTATCACATTTTCCCATGTATTTTCTGTTCTTCTAGTGTTTTTGTGAACCGCCTCCATTTTCAAAGAACTGTTCTGATACATCCCCTATATATAAAAATACACGGTAGTCAAAATGCTTGAGTCACACACTTAAAAATTTTCTTCTCCAATCCAAACAACACTGGATCCAGAGTCCTTATTTTTCACCATACTATAAGGCGATTAACAAAAAAAAAAAAAAAAAAAAAAAAAAAAACCCACAGTATATTAAGTACTTAAAAAACACTTAAATCGAGTTAAAATGTTGGACAATTATCACCCCTACCCACTTTCAGAACATTTTTATTTTCTCAGAAGGAAAGTCTTCACTTTAAAGAATAATTCCCAGGAGTTCCGCTCAGTATTTTTAGCTGTGGGTATCTGCCTTTGTTTCCATCAACTACCAACTGAGGGCTCTATGATGGCATATAAGTTAGTTACCAATCTCATTATCAGTGGAAACATGTATCCCTGGTGCACAAAAGGACTTTGGGAACATATTCCCCATGGAGGAATACTCCCTTAACCTCCAGGCAGTAGGGAACGCCTAGTCCCTACTCCAAATGACTTGACAGATTTTGATGATTCCTCCTGGAAGGTATCACCCTCCCTGTGGAGTTGGGGAGGGAAGGGGATGGAAGGGGTGTTGGGGGCCATTGGAGAGAGAGAGGGAAATTAAAATAAGTATATATATATATATATATATATATATATATATATATATATATATAATGAATAATTCCCATTTTCCCTTTCCTCTGACTTTTGTTTGTTCTACTCTTTAATATGCACGAATGTGTTTATTCGTATTATATGTAAATGTGGTCCTTTTTTTTCTCTTGTTAAGTTTATTGTGGAGAAATTAAAATAATACAGAGGAGAATGGTGCAACGAGCTTCCGTGTACTTAGCACACAATAGTTGACTTGAGGCCATTCTTGTTTCATCACTACTTCCTCTCTTCCACACCGTCCTGAAACAAATCCCAGACATCATATTGCTCTATTCACTATTGTTTTAGCCTTCATCTCTAAAATATGAACCCTTTCCTTTAACATTATAATACCAGCATTCTGATTAAAAGTATTCATACTTATTTCTACATACGGTCACACATCTAAATCTATCAAGTTTGTAATTGTCTTGGAAATGTTGTAAGCTTTTCGTTTGAACCAGGATCCAAATACGGCTCACACATTCTCTCAGATGAGAACATTGTTGAAAATAACACTGTTTCATGAAGAAGACATCATTTGTGACCTCTCCATAGGCACCTGTGTTATTTGATGATGGGATACCTCTTCCTAAGAGGCATGGGTTCAGAAAAGTGTTATCTGGTGGGAAGTAGTCTGGCCCACACTTCCAGGCTGGGTGGACACATGCTTTAACCCGGGGAACTTGGTATAGTGACTTGAATGTGAAATATGTATGGTGGACCGCACAGTTTTGGAAGGATGCGGTCGTACCACGGTGGTAGAGCCCCTCTGGGGGAAGTGGGTCACTAGAGCAGGCCCTGAGGTGGTATAGTCCAGCCTCCCGTCTTGTCTGTTGTCTGATTCATGACCATGGATGCAGTGTGGCCAGCTGTCATGCCTTCCCCACAGAATGGATATGTAGTCCTTCTTGCCAGGCATTTCATTGCAGGAAAAGTAACTACAGTGACACGGTCTTCCACACCTCAGCCTGCAAGGGGCATCTCTAACACTCCAGTCATTCTAAGTTGTCCTTGTGGACCCTCTCTTACAGCGAAGACATGCAGTACACATTAAAAGGACTTAGATCAGAGCAGCTTGGATATCAGTGTGGTCTTAAGAAGAAAATACAATTTAAAAAATATATTTTCTTTGTATGAATGAGAGTTTGTCTGCATGTGTACAGCCAGTTGCCATGGCAATGCCCTTTCGGCAGCGAGGATCTGTTTGAGGTTCTTCCAGGTTCTATTCTTCTTGCCAGCTACTGCACCACCTTGGTCAGAGTGCACGAAGTTGGGATCCTTAAATGGCAATTGTTTGGCAGCTTTTTCCACAGGCCCCGAACTAAACTCAGAGGATGCCATTTTATTCTCACTCATAGCTTCAATGCTGACACCCTGAGGAAAGCTGAAGGCAGACAGCTTTTTCTTCTTACTGGCACCGTATCCCCCTCCGCTGCCGTTGTGAGATGGGCTGGCTGGCCTCTTCTTGCTGGTCCTGGCTATGGTGGGGGTAGAAGTGGCAGCCACGATTGGAATTTGAGCCGCCATCCTACCAGCAGTGTGTGTGCCTGCAGCTCCCCGCCCCCACCCAGCCTTGGACCAGCCCTGGAACTTCGTAAATGTGGTCCTTTATACTGTGTTCTTTTGTGTCTGCATTTTGGTTATCATGTAGCTTTTACTTTTCATTCATAATGTAGTGGCCACTTTGAACCCTAACCATGTTCCATTCTGTGTAAGAAGCACATTTTGTTTGTTCTGTTATTGTTCGGTAGACATATTTGTATCGAAAGAAGACTTTGATTATTTTGGGGGCACAAAACTATAATCAAATTGTTTGTTACCTGTTTTGTAATTAAATGTTTAATATTTATATCTTCCTTATATTTTCTTATTCTTCTCTCAATGACCTGTTGATTGCCAAAGAATTTCTTATTCTTCTTTAAAAGGTCTGTTAATTGCCTCAACCCCTTCAACCACCAAGTTCTACTCTCCTTCTCAGTATCAATAATAATCAGTGATGTTTATCTCCTTAGAACAAATTGACTATGCCATCTTACCAAATTTCAAGCACCATTCTACTCTCCAAATTTCTTTCATTAAATCCATACAAGAAGCAAATGCATAATACATGATTTTTCTATTATTTCTTCTATGTCTTTATCTATTTATTTAAGGTATGGAATTTTCTAAATTATTATTTCCCCTTTCAATAACAAGAGCCTAATCCAAAAGGTACTAATCCAGCAGAATCATAATTTCCCTGTTACTGTCAATACAACATATTGTAATACCATAACTAGTGGAATGAAGGTAGAGAGTTATCACTTTATTTTACCACCATGCAATGTGGATTGAAAATTTACTTTTCCATAGTATGTCCTAAAATTACAATATTTTATTAATTATGAAATCCTCAATAATATTACATGACACAAATGATTTAATGCACTAATTATTTATATCAACGTCATAGTATCAAAGCTATAGCAAGAGAATCCTGAAGGAAATATCTATGTCAATCATTCTATCTATGATTAAATGGAATAACCAAATGTGCTAAAGAATATGAGAATTAGAATTTGAACAGCACTTCCTCTCACACACTATAGGTATCATATTAGGTGACAGATGTTTAATATACCATTGATTCTTACCATCATATATTGTGAGGGGGACAGTACTTATGTCACAATTGTAAAAGGAGGCATCAAAAGGCTGGTAGGAGGCCTACTTCAAAATATGCAGTAGAGACACATGACTCTTGAGCCTCATCTTTTGTCTTAATCATATTTCAAGTTCACATGCTTAAACAAAGCAACATTTGATATACCAACAAAAAGAATTTACTTTTGTAAACACTAATCCTTCATTTATGTTAAAAAATTTAACTATTATACTGTCATATATCTAACAATTGCAAGTCCCTCTTATTCTTTTTAAGTGTTGTGGCAGAGATCCAAGCCCATGCCCAGGATCTTATGTTTGTTTAAAAGTCCTCTACCACTTAGCTAAGTGTGTATTTTAGGAGTTTTATTTGGAATCTCAGGTGACCAGTCAGAGCAATAAGACTACAATCTCTAATTACTCTTAACTAATTAACTGATTAGAAGTTAATAAGCCAAGTCAGTGTTATTCTTTTCATTAACAGCATATTAACATGTCAACCAATTAGCTTTTAAAATATATGTGCTAAAGTTAATAACAACTTTAATTAATTAATTTGTTTCAGAGGGAGAAGTACTTTCATTCTAGATCACATCTAGAGGTTATCTGAAGTTTAGTAAATAATATCTAACATGACCTTCGATGATATTTGGGAATATATACTCCTAAATATGAATTAATGCCCATTTCCTAGTAATGCATTTTATGCTTTATTCTCAATTGAAAATAAATTTAAAAGATTTTTATTCAGACACTTGGATTTTAAACAAAGGATAAACCTTACATTTTCTTTGACAGAAATTCAAGTGAAGGGAATAGTTAAATGAAAGTAACTGGTTTGGGGATCACCTTTCAAGAAAAATTTAATAATTTATAGCAGTGAATTTAACTTAAATCAGAGTAGAAATTTATTAGGCTACAAAATTACATTAATAAGAAAACACCAGAAATTGCAAAGAATCACTATGATATTGGTTTGCTATTTATATTCCAATTTATAAATTTATGAGTTGTTATTTGTGTATTTTATGTAATGTAGGTTAATGTTATATTCAAGTTCTTATAATGTTTACTCTATAATTCAGGATATTTATAATTATTGACATAGGTTTACTGTGCCAGCAAACATATTAGAGGCCGTGGCTTTAATGAATTAAATTGACATATTTATAAAAATATTTATGGAGGAGTAGTAACAACTCTAAAATATACATTCTGGCTCTCCTTCACATATGTACACACACATATTTTTAAAGATTTACTTATTATGTATATAGTGTTCTGGCACGAAGGCCTAGATGCCAGAAGAGGGCACCAGATCACATTATAAATGGTTGTGAGCCACCATGTAGTTGCTGGGAATTGAACTCAGGATCTCTGGAAGAGCAGCCAGTGTTCTTAACCTCTGAGCCATCTCTCCAGCCATGTACACACACTTTTAAATACACAGACTGCTCTCCTTTCTAGTAACCTATCATTCCTGTTTGTCAGACATTGAGCAATTCTGTCTCTGAAAATTCCATCTCCACGTCCCTCACACTTTAATAATGTGCTTTTCTCTGATCTTTCAGACAGTTGCCCACACAATATTCCTATTTAAATGAAAATTTGCAGGTATAAAGTATTTCACATGGTCACTAAATACCACAATCTATATATACATATATTGTCTAGGACTTGATAATTGTTGTCTTTTGAGTTAGTTTCCCCTTATCTGTTGTAAATATAGCATTATGATTTTCCTGCTTTCAGTTTTCTTCAGTGGTTCCTATGCTAAAGTTTTTGAGACACTAAAAGTGTTGGAAATAATTGACTTTGGTACTTAGAAGTGACTGCATGTGTCAAATATTTACACATGCATGCACATTAGAACAAACTGGCACATGCATGCACACTCACACACAGATATACACACTCCCTAGGCATCCTGTAATATGATTGTTGTGTATCTTAGGACTCAGCATGCAGGAAGCTGTCAAAAGGGTGTAGATATTCACCATTGTATCACAACTATAACTACAACAACATAAATTTTCCTTTTAAAAAATATAACTTCTATAGTTTGTGTCTCTGTAGTATCATAGGGGAAAGAAACAGAATAAAATCTGTCTTTTTTACTTTTGTCCTTCTTCCCCAGAGACAAATGTACTCTAATGCTGGAACATCATTCTCAGATATGTAGTTTCTATAAAGAATACTATTTATGATTTTTAAAAAGTGTTATGTGGTTGTTAACATGAATTATGTGTTGCTGTACCACATTATAGAAATTTTCACTTTATTTGAAATAACCTTGAAATCATATACTTTGCTTGAGGACATATTTGATTAATTTGACCAGAATACAAAGTTTTAGAGGAGGTGAACATACTTATTTTATTCATCAATTACTTCATGAAAGATTTTTTGAAGAAAAAGAAGGACACAGCAGGATGAAGATGAAGGGAATCTTCAGATCACTGATATTGGATCTTTGAATACATACTTAGATAAAGTAAGCCCAGTGGGAATGTTTAGCAGTATTGTTTGCCAAAGTTTATGACATTCCTATTTCATTAGGCTTCAAACAGTTACTACCTGCTTCCTGATATAATCAAAGCTGGAAGATGTTCATGTCAGAGGCATTTCCTTTCCTTAAAATAAAAAAAAATATTTTATCAAAAGATGCTCTTTTATGAAACCATCAAATTTTGTATATTTTATTTTAAAAACTACCATCCTCCTCACTACCATTAAGTTGGTAATAATGATGTGTGTGCATTAAACCAGGTTTTTAAAAAGCAATTCCTAGTAATACATAATAAGTCTTAGTAACTTCAGAAGTAAGCCTGCAGAAATATTCACCCCATTATCTGTCTTTGTTTTCAAATATCTGGGTGAGTGAATATCAAGTTTAATTTTATGTCCATTAGCCTGTAAGTGACAGAAAGCCTTCCAAATACAATGATAATCCATATTCCCTAAAGCAGAAATGCAATGGGAGAAAATGGCCTGTATAGATGTGAAATTGGACACATATGCATAATGGCAAGAAATCAAAGATAAATTAATGAGAATGCTTATAATTACATTTATGTGTTTTCCCTATAATAAACTTTTGAAATGAAAATGCACATTTGATTTATCCATAAGTGTAATGAAGGGGAAAATTCAATCTAATTACATTCCACTTGAATCTTTACTTCTAATGCAAATTCTTTTGGTTTTTCAATACTTTATTCTAAACGATGGCTCCAATAAATGTAGTATATCAAACCAGAAAAAGTATCTTTCTCCAAAGCATCTTTTTTTATTACATTATACATTAAAACTCACTATACATATACACATTATAAACCTAAGGCTGGGTTATACAGAGCGAAGAGGATATATTTCAACTTCTTATGGATTCTTTAATAGAGTATTCCTAAAATTATTATTAAGAAACAAGTTATTCTCTTTAAAATCACATAAAATGTCAGAATATTAAAAGAACATTATTAATAAAATACTGTTCAATTAGACTTTATCTTTCTTATATTAATTTTGATGGTTATTTAAAGAGCAATAAACATTTTTATTTTTAGTGTTTGTTAAATTACAAGGTATATTCTGAAAACTCTTAGTGTAAGGATTCTAATAACTAATCTTATTAATTTTATTTTCATTTTAAGTTAAACTCACTTCTGCAGACTTTTTAATAAATTAGTCTTTAAACCCTACCTCCTACTAAGAAAAGTATTGTATATATTTTCAGATGCAAAATAGATATTGTATGCATCTGGAACATAGGTAAACATATTTTTCTGTAAAGTTGAAATCTGACCAAGGATTTATTTTTAACTATATATGAAAACAAATGGTACATACACAGCTGGACTGCATATAAATTCTGATTCATTTTTCTCTCTGCCATATGTTATCTT